TTTTGCTTTGACGATCTGATTCAAAATGGCCGAATTCAATTCAAATTTGATGTCATAGATATACAGATGTACCGGTACCTTAAATTTCATAACTAAAGAGGACTGTGTCATGCATGGCTTGTTTTAATATAGTGTATATAATCTGCGTTTTTTTTACCCTACCACTAATGCTACCTGTCAATTGCAATATTGACACTAGAAATTCACAATAATATTCACAATAAGATTTTACAAAATGCCTCCTAGCCTGTAATAACCAAGAACTTCTGAATAATATTTCAGTGATAGCACCACCAGTGTCCAGTTTATGACAATATTGACAAATTGTTGTTATATGTACATGTAATCAGAAATGTTCAACTAATCATTAAATAACTTATCTGAGGCGTTTGATTTCAATGACTTGTTTCAGATCCCACCGCTGTCCTCAACATTCTGATGAGCAAAGACGATCTGTCAGAGCCTACTTATTAGGTGGATATCATGATGCAGTAAGAGTCAGAACAGATGGGTAAGTCAATTTGCTTTCTCACCTCAAATCAGATGTGTAATATCTTAGTAAGCTACTGCATTAATTTGCTGAGCCATTTCAGAATGGAACATCCGAGTGTTTAATTATCACACACATAAGAAAAGTCAATTCTCAATGTTTTTAGTTCTCCCAGTAACTTGTTTTTCAGAGTTACATCAATCCATCTGACATCATTTACCGGTATTGGACTTGTCAAAATAGTTGCACAAGACATAATGGTATACATATATTGTATGCACGTCAAAAGAAAACAAAAATTTGTCATGTTGTTTGTTATTCACTGTGATGTAAACTAACCTTTGACCATACACTAAGGATGATTTGTTTCAAAATGTGTAACTGGTGGTCATGTTGGTTTTATAGTCAATGTTTGGACACAAAATTGGGACTTGTGGATTACCCTACATGTGTGTGTACTGATCGAATTCAAACTTTACATCATGAATCTTGGTTTATATATGCACGTCTGTGTGTTTTACAATATGATTCAAGATAGTCAGATGTTTTGTTCACTAGTGAACAATTGGGACTAGTATAGTCAGATCATAACATTACCTGTTCTTATATTCCCTAATCATTTCTTGTTGACAGATGTTGTATAAGGTTATGAAAAATACCATACATAAAATTGTGTTCTTGAATGGTAATTCAGTCAACTACAAACAGGGACTATGTCATTGACCAGAAATGCCAATCTACATCTGCTGGTACTAACAGCAGTGTGTTCAATACATTCACATAAAAACATAGATGTGACAGCACATACAGTTATACTGTCACACTCAAGGTGAAGGTGTCTTTATTTTATGCTCACATACAACCAGGGTTGGTGTACAATGATGATCCCAGTGAAAACCACACCCAATCATATACTTTCATAAATGAGTAAATAGTTAGTCATTGTCTAATGGACCGATTTGTTCAAGTTTGAATAGATTCTTATTGCTACTTTGTTGAAGACAATGTTGTTGTTATTTTCAGTAACCTTGGCGACAATGATGATATACATGTAGATATTGATGGTTACGAAGATTCAGAAAATGCAAATTCATTCCGTGATGTCCTTCATTGGGAGGGGAGTTCAGCCAATCCATCACCAGCTGATTCAAACTCCACTGCTAGTAAGTACATGACCTCCATTATTCAGTACATGCATAGCTATGGAATTCAATGTTGGTTGTTGGAATCAAGCTCATATAACAGTATATTAGGAACAGGGATGACATGCTCTACTACCGGTAGGCGTACAATGGTGGTGGTTGATATTTTTTATAAATGCTATATCTGACTACTCGATTTGGGTTAAAGGGCAGTGATTGTCATGACACGTTTTGTTGAATATATGGGGCTCATAACATTGTACACAACGTGTATAAGAATACTTTGTTTATTTTACATGAAATTCAAACATGTGCTGCATAATGTCCACCACCTTTTAAAATGCACAAAGTGTTACTAGAGTTTGTTTGTTCATATATCTGTTTTTCATACATGTATGACTCCTTAGATATCTCAAAATTGCTGGTGAAATGGTGAAATCCAGTTGTCCATTACAGTGCAATCTCCCTCTACCAAAAATGGATTTCCTAAAACTTCAAGAGCACCATGTGCATTACTTCAAAACATTTCTAAACCATTTGACTCTGAGCAACCATTAATTATATCCTATATGGATCAATACTGGAAGCACTGAACAGATTGTAATTTGCATAGCTTGCATGTCTTAAATTTTAGATTGCATCTTTTCCTCTCTTGGCATGATCGTAGAACTGGCAGCCATATTGGCTTTATTTTTATGTGTTCTCATCCACTTTCTGGACATACATGTAAGCTTGTTCAAAGTAGTTACAAAGCCAAGATACAATTTTTGTGTCTTAGTGTTAATTAAAAAATCGAAATTTGAAACTCTACTTCACTCATTCAGCTTATGTAGTTACAGGCAATCAACAACACCAATCTCAGCTGAAACTTGGCAAATAGAATTTATCAAGAGGGGACTTTTTTTTTCCCACTGTTTGACCATGCTTATGACATCATTCCGAAATAAATTTAATTTGGTAATTGACTCTTATTTGCATTCCCTGGGCATGAATATAGTGATGACCATACATGTAGTTGGTGAAACTTTATCTTACTATGATTGTAATTGACTCCCATGTGCAAAGCACAAAAAGGGAGTCTTTGCAGTTAGTATGTCTGTGTGTGTGTCTGTTCCACTGATATCTCAAGAACCAAACATTGATTTTTGATAAAAAACTTGGTGCATAGATGCTCTGGGCCAATGCGCAGATTTTATCAGGTTTTGGTAAAAATCCATGCATATTAATTACCTAATTTGCATGATAATTAGCTGATTTTTAGGTGTTCCATGATTGTTCCACTGATATCTAAAGAACTACTCATTGGATTTTGATGAAACTTGGCACATAGATGCTCCGAACTAATGCGCAGATTTGATTAGTTTTGGGTAAAAATCTGTGCAATATTAATTACCTAATTTGCATAATGATTAATCAATTTTTGGTTTTTTCCACTGATATCTCAAGTACTAATCATCACATTTCAATGAAACTTGGTGCATAGATATCATAGGACACTGCACAGACCTGATAGTTTTTAGTGTAATATCAGTACATATTAATTACCTAATTTGCATAATTAATTAATTTTCAGCTTTTGATATTTCAAGTAGTAATCATCACATTTCAATGAAACTTGGTACATAGTTACTTAAGGACTGTGCAGAGACCTGATTAGTTTTAGAATAAATAATTGTGGATATTAATTACCTAATTTGCATAATTAGTTATTTTTTTCCATGAATGTTCCACTGATAGAACCACTAATTGGATTTTAATGAAACATTTATAGAGTATTCATTATTACATTTCACTGAACCTAGGACTATGCAGAGACCCAATTAGTTTTTAGTAAATATTTATGCTTATTAATCACCTAATTAAAATAATTAATTAACACTGATATCTCAATTACTGATCATCACATTTGAATAAAATTTGGTATATAAATGTTCTAGAACAATAGACAGGCCCAATTAATTTTGGGTTGAAATTTGTTCATTTTAATTCTCTAATAATAATAATTCATAGTTTTTTTGTTCTAATCATTTCAATGAAACTTGGTACATAGATATTACATTATGCATTAAGCTTTCTTTGATATTTGTTTATTTTCAGGTACAAGCAGTACTGCAAAGAGATACAAGAAATCCAAGCAACAGAGACACAAGAAAAGTAAGACTTCTACACTGGTGCAGTATGACAATGAAATCTGAAAAAAATATCTGTTCTGACCTTATGACCTGTATAAAACTGTTATTGAAATATTCACTTCTTTATAAAAAGGCTGCTTGCAGTGAAAACAAACAATATTAAATTATTTGGAAGCATGTTTCCGAATCTTAGCATTCATGCATATTAGGTTATTGGCATGTGTATTTATCTCTAAAAGAATAAATTGAAGCTCCTTGAAGTGATGTCATATTGTTTAATATCTACGTAGTCACAAACAAATGAATGTGCTGTGTATATGATTTTGTCTGACCACAGCTGTTATTCCTTACCTTGTTCTTTTTGTGTTTATACTGCAGCAAGAATGCATGCATTTATGTACAATGTATGTGCCTCTAATTTCTTTCATTATTTTATGTATTGCAATATCGGCATTGTTTGCTTTGTTGTTGAAATTATGCTGCTGTATACCAGGAATGTGCTAGTAGATCATCATTCTGCATAGATTGTTGTATACTTTCTTAATCTCCGTTTGGACAGTCTGAAAAAGGGGGGACTTATGACGTGCATGCATGCCCACCTGCATCTTGGACATGTCTTTATAATCAATTAATGGTAAAATAAGACGGAACATCATTTCATTCCTTTGATGTTTGTCGCAGTTGCCTAACCCTATATTATTGTCTTTATTTAATTTTTATTGCAAGAATAACAAAGTTGTGTTGTTCGCAAAATTTTGCTTGAAGTCTCAACTATATGTGTACTGTAATAAAAGCAACAGCAAAAGTATTTGCTAAATATTCGCATCAAAAGTTTCTTTCAATTGATCAGTTTGTTACGTCCCTCTATAGCCATACCTTAAAAGCAATTTGATAACATGCTTATCACCATGACATGTACAAAGTAGGTGGGAGGATAATTACAACCAAAAAACTTGCTATGAAAGGAGAGCTACTGGTACTTTAACTACGTTGTGCTGATTTTTAGAGGACATTTTAGGATTTTTCTAATAGAAAAAGCTACTGCAGTTTGATTTCAAGCATTGTTGATTGTAACCGATCACTGGTAGCATACACATGTAGTGGTTGTTGCATCAGACTCGTGATCAGTAGACCGAAGTTCAAATATTACCTCAGGCTGAACATCTAAAGGGTCAACCCCTACCCTGGGTGAGTGTGCCACAGACTCAATGGGAAGGCCAATTCCACTGGCCGAGATTCATTCACTAACGAATGCGACTTTGAGGGAACCTTGGTTAAGGTCCGCAGATGCTTGTGTTCAACCGAGCCTGGTTGACACCAGGATAGCGCATAAAATCGCCATTTGATAGAGAGATGGCAACATAGCCCTGTCATCTGTGTAGTCCCAAAACATGAATATGGCTTGTGGCAAAAATGCACTATATGTAAGCACTTACAACTTGCACATACAAAACTGTTGCCGGGCACAAAAACATTTTTTTTTTTTTTCAAAAGCATGGTTTACCATAGGGTTGGAGTAAAACAATTGAACAATAGCCTTTCAGACTTTTTTTTTTTAATTCAATTACAATAAATAACATGTAAAGTTTACAATCTTTGGAAAGCAAGTAAAAATTCTTAAATAAGATATAAAACACTAGATGAAATACTTCTATAACCACCCAGGTTAAAATAGATGAAGTGAAACAACATGAAGTAGAACATTAAAAACATAGTAAATTTGTAAATAATGGGAAAAAAAAAACCTTAAAATATCAATAAACACTGATATGTATATTAAATTTAATATATCTGTTCTGGAATAACAACATTGTAACACTAGAGGGCGCTATATTTGAACGTTTTCTTTGTTGTGCGTCTGTTGCAAAAACCCAGAATGAATCCATATAAAGAAGTACACAACTCAAAAATAAGAAGTACATGCGACTGCCATGTGGAAAGCTAAATATGGAATCAGACAAATTGTCTGAGAAACATGTTGAACATTATGAATAGTGAAAAAAAGTTTTGATGGTTTGAGGAATTATTTGGAATGACAATGTTTCAGTTAAAGCAGAGGAGTCGTCACCTGCGTATGCGACAAATGGGCATGGCGTGTCGTTGTTTACAAACAAGCATCTACCCATGAACCTTAGCATTTTTAATGTCGCTTGGGACTCTTCACATGTGCACGTGACGACCCCTTCGCTTTAAGTTTGTAATGATCAAGTGTGTTCACTGTGGTCTGTGATCACACCTAAGTAACTTATTTAATTTGTTTTTTCATTCCAGTGGCCTAACAACTAACATTCGATGAAAAAAATGTAATGTGTCAAATAAAAACTTCAATACATCTGACACTGTAGTATTGCTCTGGGTATTTGCATCTTACCATATTAGGACATGCGAATTCTACATATGGAGCAATCACGCAGTACTTTCAAGATGGCGGGTGCTATGAACTGAATTATATAGCGCTGTCTATTATTAAATATTGCACAGTCATGTAATTTTCAATATACACCATAGCTAACATTATACATGTATCATCTCCCACACATGATCAGTTAGTGATGTCACATGATCAGTTAGTGATGTCACATGATCAGTTAGTGATGTCACATGATCAGTTAGTGATGTCACATGATCAGTTAGTGATGTCACATGATCAGTTAGTGATGTCACATGATCAGTTAGTGATGTCACATGATCAGTTAGTGATGTCACATGATTCGTATTAAAACTAAGATAGATGATATGAACATTAAAAGTTTAAATACTGAATTAAGACGAGAATTGAGAATTTGTAAAATTGAAAAAAATCTGAAAAATGTCATTAAAAAAGTTTATTAACTGGATTACAAATTGCTTTTCAGTATACACAGGATGGTATTGCAGGCTTATTTACAGCTCATTTTTACCCAGAATGCATTACTATTTCATCATTTCCCTTAATACACTGTAGAAGGGATAAATGTTCAGAAAAGCGAAATAAAACTTTGTTTTTCTTAAAATTCACTTGAAATTGTGCCTGATTTTAGAATGAATACTAAGAAGCAATTTAAATTAAGGCATGCAGATGCATAAACAATGCCAGAAGTATATTTGCAGAAGACTAAGAAGATGAAACATTATCAATACACTCAATATGTGTCGTCCTTGTATATTCACACCAAGCATAATAAAGACAAAATACAGGAAATATCTCGACTTAAAATATTTGTGAAAATATGGAAAACTTGTATAACTACTCATAACAAAACAAAACACATAATAAAGATTTATGCACAATTGAGTTGTATAGTATTCATTTACAAGTCAAAATGCAGCCTTTAAATAACTAGGAATGTATGGAGTTTAAATTAGCAGTTACGTTTGCAGTATTCCTGATTAAATAACATAATATAGTGTGCAAATTTTTGGTATGTGTTCAAATCACAATAGCTAAGCTAGTTATAAAAGTGTTGTTTTTTTTTTTAAATATTTTGAATTATATAATATAATAATTTAAACAAAAGCACTGAATGATATGTTACACCCTGATAATGCAAAATGTAAGGCAATTTGCAGCATTTGAAGTTATTCATTTCAATATTTCGGACTTTTTTGATTGCAAATATTCGATATCAATATGCACCATCTAACTAAAACTAATGTACAAATGAGAGATACAACCAAGGACAGAACAGTGTGACTGTTTCGTATACATGCTGACTGCAGGAAAAAAATGTACGTTTGCCAAGGGTACTACGAGAATTGTAGGAACACTTGTCTGTATGCACCACGACGTCAAGGATGATAATTATGTGACTTGCCGACTGCATGAATGATTGTCCTGCACGTCTACATCAATTGTGATGCAGCATGTATAGTAAATCCTACAGAGCATGTAGAAAATGCTGCCATCGAGATAATGCATGGTGGTAATAGACCAAAACAAGACAATATTCACAAGTCTCCACACTTGCAGTGTACCAGTACAAGCAGTTGACATGTCATTCTGTCCTCGGTTGTAAAGCAATAATCTTAGTTGAATACCTGATAGCTATAATCACACACAGGTAATTGTAATAATATAATTCTGGTTCTCATAGAAAATCAGTTCAGAGCACCAATTAAGTGAGAATAAATGGTTGGCAGTCTAGCACTTCAGAAACCATTCAAAACCTGTTACAGTAATCTATCAAAAACGAAACAATTAAATTGTGTGAAAAATTACATTTTGTCAGTGTCTGCACTTTCTCGTACATTCTATCAAGTATGGACGGGTTACAATTTAGAAAACATGGAGTTTACAATTAAGATGCAACGACTTCAAAATGTAGTATCAATCTGATAGACGGCACATGATGATTTAAAAAAAAATAAAACTGTTGTGAGCTGTGTTCTCCAAAATTGTGGAGTTTGGTAAAAGAAGCTGCTTGTTTGACTGCACAACTTAGTAAGAACCGTGAGCAAGATGTGTTCACTCAAAGCTTCAAGGGATCACAGATCTTGCCACATATAGGAATATTATATTGAAAACTATCTTCACTTATAATGTGGTAATAACAACATACAGGTAGATATCAGCAAATAACCAATTTGAAAACAAACCACAGTTCTATTTTATATATACCATTTCCAATAAAAAAAATTTAAAAAGGTGAGATTCTGAATTAAAAAATATTAATATAAAAACTATAACTAATTGCACAATATTTGTTGATAAACGTTCAATCCTTAGATATAAAGATGTTTGTCATATTATTATACTTACTGGGGTGCTCACCTTGGCTCAAATAACCCCTCCTTTCAAATATTATGGAAAAGTATTTTAATATTAACAGTTTCATGAAAATTTGAACAAAATTACTGATACTTTGTGTAAACTTATTGCTGTACAAGATCATATGCTGAAAACAAAATTGGGGTCACGGGCTGAATTTTTCAAATAAATATATCTACCCTTAGCTATGAGTTAATACATGGGACTCTGGGGGTAAACTATTTGTAAATATACAACAGATTGTTTTATGCTAAAGCATGGACAACGTAAAATGTTTGCGAGTTCACTTCGGGCCCATCCTTCTTCATCAAACTGTATAAATTGATCAACCTTCATTATAACCTTAATAACAAACGTCAGTTTTAAATTATACTATTTAGTCATCCGTTCATCTGAGAATGATTGTACACATCAACTTTCTGCAGTAGTGACAAAATCGTAAAAGATGAAATAAACTACTATGTCCAGAAATACAAGTACATAATACATTGCGAAAAAGACAGTCAAGGGTTAGTCTTTGATATGTACAAATAGTAGTTTCAATGCTCTCTTGGTTTGACAATTAACTTATGGTAAGTGTCAAAAGCCATGTACAGTGACCATACTCAAACTTTGTGTCTAGCACTGGTGAAATTTTCAATTCTACATAATTGGCATATCTGGTTACATTGTGCGACAAGGATCGGCATGGACGGGTTGTATACATTATAAACTTGGTTAAGAAGCATCCTTTTTTAAGGAAGACGTGCTGATGTGTACCTAAGCAATGTGGTGCCATATGTGGGCGTTGGTTAAATTTGGATTTTTTAACATATTTACTTTCCCATGTATTCAGTCTTATTTACATATTCCCTAGCTTTTTTACCTACAATAGTCTTCATAATGAACTCTTGGCAAGATTATGGTCATAAGAAATTCCAAGTCTACATGATAGTGGACGCATCAACTTGGGGGGGGGGGGGGTTTGAAGATTTACTCTTTTCAAACAAATGAAGCAAGGAACAACAACTCGCACAATCTGTGCTTATAGTGAATTTGAGTAAAACAATATTTTTTTACATGATTTACTAAATATGTTAAAATGAATTATTAACAATTACATTAATTAGTATGAATGGTTCTGTCAACTATCCAATTAACTCTGTAGCTTGTAAGAGCCTATACACAACTGTACAACCTCAATAGTTTAAGTTGAAAATTGTTATT